GGGCCTGCGCGGCAGGAGGGGCAACCGCGCGGTGGGGGCCGCTCCTCGTTTGTGTTGCTGCCATAACGACCTTTGGCGGCCCCCGGTGCTCGTTACTGCCTGCTTTGTCCCCGCAGGTCGGGGCTCTGACAGCCAGGGCTGGCCCTGGTCCTGGCTGCGGCTCCGCGCCCCTGAGGTGTTTGGTTTGGTGGAAGACAGCGGGCATGAAGAGCCAAGGCTTGCTTTAATTGTCAGGCGTTACCCGGCAGCTCAGCTAATACGTTTAACGGGCCTGCCGTGTTACGGAACAGAACAGAGCATCGTTTGCCTTTGCCTTGGAGGGAAATCCAGCCTCTAAACACTCTTGGCTTGATTGGCTTCTGATTTTTGCCCAGATGAGTAGTCATGCTTTCCTCCACGGTGATTCCGACAACACGAGCCTATTAACTTTCACACTGGGATCGGATAATTTAACCGTTTTACTGTTTGCTTGACCATAAAGTCCCTGCAAGCTGCTAAACCAGCGTGGAACGAAGCTTCCGCTGCGCTCGTTGGGCCAGAGGCTGCTCGGACAAAATGCGACCCGGGCAGATACCTGGGCTGTGGTCCTGCAGACAGACGTATTCCCGTGTTACTGCCAGCAGCACGTCTGTCGGGACAGAATACAAACGTAGCTGCGCATTTTGCATCCTGCCCAGCGTGGTGTGCGTAGATCCTGGACGTGATTAAATGGGGGGGTGGCTCGCTCTGTGTGTTGGTGCTGCTTTGGTAACTTTGCTGCCTGTAGATGCTGGTACGTAGATACCACTTGTCCTTCACCGGGACTCGCCTGGGCCACGTCGCTGCCTTTGCCTGAGGCAAGACGGGCAATGCCTTTGGGGGGTGGCTCCCTGGTTTTAGGCAGTGAGCGTGCTCTCGGGTGGATGGTTAAGTGCAGCACGAGTTGCTGAGGTGCATGTGGAAACTGCCCGGCGCTTTGGGTACCGGCGGTGAATCCCGCGGGGGCAGGGGGTGCTGGCAGCTCCTGACCACCCCTGCAGCAAGCCCGTGGGATAGATCCAATGTGAACTAAGGCAGCAATTTGCAGCTGACCCGCTGTAGGGCTCCTCAGGCTCTTCTCTGCAGCTGGGAAATCATCCCCAGGGCACCGAGAGGAGCAGAGCCCTGGCTCGTGATGCGCGACTGCCCAGCAGCGCTCAGAACCCCGTCCCTCTGTGCAGCCCCAGCGATCTGTCCCGCAGCCCCCAGGACCTGCCGCAAACCCCGTGCTGCTGCTCAGGTCCAGGGGAGTGTCTGAGGGTCGCGGGGCTGCCCGATTGCAGGG